CTAGAAGCGATGCACTTGTTACTAGTAGCTTCTTGTTACTACTAGTAAGGCCCTTGTTACTAGAAGCGATGCACTTGTTACTAGTAGCTTCTTGTTACTACTAGTAAGGTCCTTGTTACAAGAAGCGATGCACTTGTTACTAGTAGCTTCTTGTTACTACTAGTAAGGCCCTTGCTCCTAGTAGCGATGCACTTGTTGGTGCTTCATGCGCGCGCCTGAACAGCGTTGTCCGCCACCATGTGGTTCATGCGGGTGGTCTGATACCTCAAAAAGGCGAGGCGTCGCGAGGCGTCCGGGCGAGTCACGTCGTGGCGGCCGTGAGCGAAAAAAGAAAAGAAGAGCACACCCAAAGCCCCCTGTTGGTGCTAGACCATGATATTATGTCATAATATTTATGTTATATTATTGTAATCTGTATATCTATATGTCCATTCACCGGTGGACCAGTGGGTTTTGTTGAGCCATAGCCTATAAGTTCATGGTTCTTGACCCTTGATGTTTGGATATTCTCAGCACAAGCAAGACCAGCGGCTTTCAACGGCAAGTCTTGAAGGTTCATCACATGTCAGTTCACACGTCACCTGCATTGTGAAAATCGCAAAGCAGTCCCAACGAACCCAACGGTTCAGTCGCACGCGACCCGGTGGGACCACACCGTGTTGGTCGTCGCGTGTTGTTCCACCGTTCCATCACGGGTCCCACCGGTCCATCACGTCCCGGCCACTTCAGAAGGGCAATGCGAGCACCGACCTCTGCACCGCCTGAGCCCATACCAATCATGTTGTAGGTGATGTCCTCAGAGCCGGATGATGTAACTGTTTCCTTTTCCCAGACACGACCTGTCTGGGACTGCCAGTTTGGACTGCCGAGTTTCACGGCCAGGGGTGGTTGAAGTCGGGGTCTGGCTGGGGCGGCAGTCCTATGGCAGTCCCAAACGGGTCGTGTCTGGGTACTGTTTCCTTTCTGTACCGATTTTGTTTGAATGAAGGACCCGTACATGGATGTGCATAACGCTATGCCATCCTACTAGCCATCCGGCTTGGCCTTGTTGCAGGTCCCATTCGATCCCCATCTGGAAAAGTCGTCCAGGAAGTCTCTGTGTAACTGCTTCATCCGCTGTCGGCCGCCGTCGAGGCCTCTTGACCAAAAGAGAACGGCCCGTCGTTGACTTGCGCAAGCTCGCTCGCCGTCCCGCCCTCCGTGTTGCGCCGTCCCGCCGAGCCGCGTAGAGCATCTGGGTGCAGGTCTCGACGCCCGCGAACATCTGCGCCAACTTCTCTCGGATCACCGGCTGCTCAACCAAGGGCTTCCCGAAGACCTCGGCGTCACTGGGGGGGGTTGAGCAACCACCGTCTTGTGAAGTGAGTTCGACATGGGAGGAGCACAAGAGGAAAACACCGTGACTGTGCGAGCAGTGACTGGCTGTGGAAATGGACCGATGCGCTGCAGTGAGAAATGCGGAGTGGCCGCGCATCACGGTCGCGATGTTCTTTTGATGGTGCCAAGAATGAGAGGAAGGCACTGAGAGGATGAGGTAGGATCGATGATTCTCGATGTATTTCGTTCTGCCTTCAGACCGAAAGATGCGCAGAAATGAAGACAAATGATATCAGCATTTCCGAAGGTACCATTGACGATCAGTGGCATGCCATCTCTCAGATGCACCATCGGATTGCACCTGATTGGACCTTGAGATACCAAACGCTTAGGCAGGCTTGCTTTTGGTTGAGATACATCTCCCTGCGCCAAGGCAAGATGGACACTGCTAAACTGCCTTGGCCAGGACATTCAAAGTGACCTCTTTGCAGTCTCTAAGTGACCTCTTTAGGGACGATTCGTGACCTCATTCTAGGATCTCAAGGACGGTCACTTTGAAGGTCCTGGGGCATATCATCTTCTTGCCATCTCTTCCTCCTTCAGATCTCGAGGGATCCCTCCGACCGCTTCGGAGGGCCAAACCTCCCCGGGGCCCTCGGCCCTCGGCCCCGCCTTACGCTGCATGGACCACTTGAAGGTCTCCTGCGCATGGCGATTGGCGCTATGCGATTGGCGCGTGCTGTCTTGAAGGGAGATTTTGGAAGAAGGCCCATTTGGTTTAGTAGCCAGAAGTTACTCGTAACAGGGGCATTACTACTAGGAACAAGAAGCTAGTAGGTTGGAGGCCATCGCTATGAGGTTGGAGGCCATGACTACTGGGAACAAGAAGCTACTAGGTTCCTTCTCTCCTTTTGCAACCAAAAGCGGTTCTCGAAGTATCCCGCAGTCAGCCAGATCAGTCTTCACATTAGCTGCCACACATTCTTTGGTTTATGTTCAACACCGTAAAAGAAGAAAGAAACAAACGGATCAAGAACCACATGAAACTCCTATTTACTTCCCCCCAACAAAGGTAGAACATCATGGAAGATCATCTTCCAGGGCTGAAACTCTTGGGCATTGGAGACTTGAGAACTTGATACCGGCCGCTACTAGGAACAAGTGCATCGCTACTAGTAACAAGGGCCTTACTAGTAGTAACATGTAGTAACAATGTTTTCTATTAGAAACAAGAAGCTATGACTTTAATTTAAATAGCAGACTTTAATTAGACTTCTATAGCTAACATTGTTACTACTAGTAAGGCCCTTGTTCCTAGTAGCGATGCACTTGTTCCTAGTAGCGATGCACTCTTGGAGGCTTGAGAACTTGCTTCCCCGTTTGTTGAGTCATAGTAACGAGTTGCAGGATCAACACCAGGGTTTCTGACCAAAACAATGTGATCAGGTCGTCCGTCCTTTTGGCAGAAAAGGACGCTCACTATCCCCTCGATACCAATTTTTCGATAGTGCTGGGCGCTTTCTCGATCCATATCGAACCAGACGAGGTCTCCGCTCCCTCCTCAGTGCAAATGCGCGCTCGCGCAATGCAAACCACGGTGATCATCCAGCGCTCGTGGTTGAAATTGGACATGATGATCTGGAAGCCCTTGTTCTCGGTACCAATGAGATTCCTGTGTGCGATTCTATGCGAAAAGACGTCAAAGATGCAAGTTGTTCTTCTCTCGAACTGATGGTTTCTAAGGGGATTTGGTCCTTTTTAGCTTTACAATGTTTGTTTATGTTTGTTTGGATGGCATCGGAAAGAATGAAAAGCATCCCAAACCAAAGAAACGGCCATGGCACTTCTTGGGCACGATGCAGTTCTCATAGGTCACATAGGCTGTGCCAGCCGCCGAGGAGTACTTACTCTTCATGACCTTGGTCTGCACTGCATCCGACCTGCAAAGAGCGATGAACATGCGATGGGAGATGTGGATGTGGGAGATGTTGAAGTCCAAGTTCAAGTGATTCAACCCCTGGTCTGTTCAAGTCTACCTGACTGAAACACGACTGAAACCTCTACCTGGTATGTACCCAAAGCCGGACGCCGCTTCTCCGAGCGCCGCCCCTGCCTGGGGATGAGCATCATCGAGATGCCGCCGGCGCCGGGCTTTCCCGTGCGCACCGCCGTCACAAACCAGTCCGCGTACCTCGCGGTCGGACGGCTGGCGGTCGGACGGCGAGAGGACGCTTGTGGGGAGGCGACCAGCTGGCGGGGAGAATCGTTTTCTGATTGTCTAGGAAGGGGGTGGGCGGCATGGTGGAGCAACGTTGCGTATACATCCTTTGTGGCTTTATTCTCATATCACAAGCACTTTGCAACTTGTCATTTCGTCCCTCTCTTCGTTCTCCGACCACTTTCGTTGGGGGAAACGAAAAAAACCACTGAGTGCCCTGCATGCCACCAGTGATCCACTTCTTCGTGCCGTTCACAATGTAATTCCTCGCGTCGCTCGCGTCGCGCCGCTTCGCGGTCGACGGTCGACGGTCGATGAAGCGTGGAGCGGTGCGAGACGTGGAGCGATTCGACACACGTGGTTTGGTTGACACGACATGCGTCGAATGGGTGGCCAACTGGGTGCCCGGTCCAACACAGGAAAGACGGGTTGAAAAACCACGTGGCGTACGCAAAGGATCGGCAACCAAATGGAGGGAGGCAACCAGGCTGGACCAGGCTACTGGTTAAGAAGCTCCATGCAAACAGCATATGCCAAAAGAATGGCACACATGATTGACTCTTTGTTCCAACTCAGCGCGTGGATCCGCAGCTAGATGCAGCTAGGTACTAGCTGGACACGGGTCATTTTGACTCGCGTCGTCCGAGGCAAGGTTTTTAGGCAGTTTGGACACCTAGTTTAGAACTTGAAAAGCGAAAACAATGTCCAAGCCGGACATGAGAATATGGCCAAAAAGCAACAGATTAGAACCCAGCTTGGATCATCCTTCTATCGCGAACCAAATGAAGCCTGCTAGACCATAGATGTGTGTTGACATGTTTTGACCTATTTTCACCATAGCTCACTTGAGAGGCGGGGAACGAAAGCGATGACGACGACACGACGATCGTGAAAACACCTTAACAATAATCCCTAAGATGATGTTTGTGATGTCGTGTCCCTTTGGTGGGCCCCCCCCCCTAATCAATACCGCTTCAATTCGTTAAGGGGGGGGAGGGTGGGGATCTATTGATTCACTTCACACGAAGTGGGGGTGGGGGGGGGTCGGGGGGGCGTTTGTAGTGATTTTTCAATTGATCCCTTCGATCTTGACCCATCTAATCGTGAACTAGAGCTTCAGCTGACCTCCTGCGGAGATCGCTTTCGTGACATCTGCAAGAGGCCGATCAGGCGTTTTTCAATTGGAAAAAATGGACATCTGGCGAGACCTAGGGGAGACCTAGGCTGAGATAAATGCGGCCGCACTCTGGGCATCTTGTTCTCCTCCTCCATGGCAAACATCAAAGACACAGTCTGTGAAGATCTCTGCGTGATGGCCCTCCTTTTGGAGGTGCTTGGCACAAATCTTCTCCTTGGATTTGTTGAGGGAAAGGGTATGAAAGAGTAATCGTTGGCCCGCACACATGAGGCCTCCATCACGAGGCCAGGTGCTGCTTCGAATTACGTTCAAAGCACAACTACGCAAACACACCACGATACATCAAAAGAATGACTATAAGAAAGAGGGAAATGAATGCTGAGCAAAACTAGGCGTCTGCCTCTTGCTCCTGGACATCACTGCAGCTGGTACTGAGGAGGGAAGCTCCGATGCCCTCATCTACGGTTTTGGACGTCAAATACGCTGCTGCCGCTTCACTCCCACCCAACATCAGCCAGGTGCCTGGCACCTCCGCCGTTTGGGGCTGAATCCATCGATCGGCAGGTGAAGAAGAACACGTCGCCCACACACGTCGCGAACATCTTTGAACAAGAAGAACATGTAGAAACATGAGGGAACATGAGTCCAACGCAATCCAACACAAATCGCCCATCAATTCGCCTTGATTTTTCCGGACGAGCCTCAAACTCGGTGTCCATCTTTGTGACCATGGAACCAAGCTTGGCCGACAAGAAGCTCAAGTGCAACGACTTGTTGGCATCAGGGACAGCTCCAAGCTCACCTCCCACATGGTCCATGTCGTTCTTCTCGAACACGCTCACCTTAAAGTTCAAATGCTCCTGGGGGCTGCAGTGGACAAGGAGCCTTGCAACCTTCCGCGGACCACCAGCCTCGTCCATGTTCAAGAAGATCACGGATTCCATGCTCAGGGGATCCTGAGTCCTCTTGTTCACTTCCTGCACATCCTTGTCGCTGAAAACAAATCCAACTCAACAAACATCTAACAAAATCACTGAGAATTCCTCTGATTTTACGGGAACTAGACGACGAGTGGCCCGAAAGCATTTTTCATCACGTAGGAAGTCAGAGTTTGAGTTATCTGTTAAGTGTTCAGTGTGAAGTGTTAAGTCGAGTGAGTTGAGGCAGTGTGTGGGTCTCTGTGTGTGTATCTATGTCTGTGTGTGTATGAGTCTCTGTCTGTGTGTGTGTCCGAGTAAGTTGAGGCAGTGCGTGGGTCTCTGTGTGTGAGTCCCTGTCTATGTCTGCTGCTGGTGAAGGTCTTCACTGTAGATATAGTGAAGGAAGTGGCTCGCAGGCCTCCGAAACCCCCCACCGGCGGCCAAGCGGTGACAGCTCAGCTCATCTTCGAGAGCATTTGAGCTACCGGTAAAGGGAAATAGTAAAGCGCACAGCTCTTCTCTTCGCGTACTCCAGTAGTTGTACTACCAAGTCGCCAGTTCTCCGCTTCCAGCTCCTCAGATACTCCGCGACTCCGAGTACTCCAGTTGTACTACAGAGTCGCCAGGTCTCATCTTCCAGCTCCCCGGCTACTCCGCGTCCTAGAGTTGTACTACAAAGTCCAGCTCCTCAGATACTCCGCGACTCCGAGTACTCCCCAGTTACTCCGCGTCCTAGAGTTGTACTACAAAGTCGCCACTTCTCGTCTTCCAGCTCCCCAGATACTGAGTGTATAAGGTTGTACTACGTACAGAGTCGTCAGTTCTCATCTGGCCGTCCCCAGATACTCCGCGTACTAAAAGAAATTTTAAAGTTATACTACCAAGTCGCCAGTTCTCATCTTCCAGCTCCCCAGATACTCCGCCTACTACAGTTGTACTACCAAGTCGCCAGTTCTCATCTTCCAGCTCCCCAAATACTCCGCGTACTAAAGTTGTACTACCAAGTCAGCTCCCCAGATACTCCGCGTACTAAAGTTGTACTACAAAGTCGCCAGTTCTCATCTTCCAGCTCCCCAGATACTCCGCGCACTAAAGTTGTACTACGAAGTCGCCAGTTCTCATCTTCCAGCTCCCCAGATACTCTGCGTACTAAAGTTGTACTACAAAGTCGCCAGTTCTCAGCTTCCAGCTCCACAGATTGCTCCGCGTACTAAAGTTGTACTAGCAAGTCGCCAGTTCTCATTTCGCGCACTCGACACGCACGATCTCCGCAGAGGGTTGCGCGGGTACCGGACAAATCGCACTCTCGCCTGCGTTTCGCGCACTCGACACGCACGATCTCCGCAGAGGGTTGCGCGGGCATGGGACAAATCGCACTCTCGCCTGAATGCATTTCGCGCACTCGACACGCATGATCTCCGCAGAGGGTTGCGCGCACACCAGACAGATCGCACTCTCGCCTGCATTTCGTGCACTCGACACGCACGATCTCCGCAGAGGGTTGCATTTTCAGTTGACACTGTTCGTCCCACCCTCCGCCTTTAAGAGAGATATTATATAAAGTGGGGAAATGTTTTTCATTAGGACATCTCCCGTGCAAGTTTTCCATACTCACACTCGCATACTCATTGCATACTCATTAGGACATCTCCCGTGCAAGTTTTCCATACTCACACTTGCATTACACTTGGATAATACTTGCCGTTGGACGCTTTCACTCTTCCACTTACACTGGGATACGTATAGAAGTGTAAGTCTTCATGTTCATGTTCAAGTGTAAGTGTGGAAGCGTAAGTGTTCAAGTGTACGTGTCGAAATGTCAGTGTTCAAGTGCAAGTGTGGAAGTGTCAGTGTGTGAGTGTAAGTGTAGAAGTGTCAGTGTTCAAGAGATTTTCCGGAAGAACCCTTCGCAATGCTTTCGGGAAAAACACATCTTAAGTATGTCCTATTAAACCAGTAAGAGTGGATGATGATGCGAACAGGTAGTTCAGGCCTTTAGTCATAGTGATAGGACCTATAGACACGGACTGTTACGACCCAATTCATACACTTTTCATGGGATTTTCACGACCAAGAACGTCTGCCACGTCTCTTCAAGTGTCCCAGTTGGAGCCATCGGTGGACAGGAGTGACCCTGCCCGCACGTGGCGCCATTCGTCCTCGGAGTGAGCCTGCCATTCACACTTCTCCGCTGTGAACTCCATGGTCTGGCCTGAATGGTCCAGAAGCAGCAGCGACTGTGGAGTGAATCTGGAACCTTGGCAAAACGGATGGGAAAGCAACGGAACTGGTCTTACCTCGGATCTTAGATTTAAAACTTCTGTAGGCGACACTGCAATTTCGGCAAGTTTTCGCCAAGGCTCTGGAGCCAGAATAGCTGGCCAAGAGCCGCCAGTCCACCGGTCCCTTCGAAAAGCTCCATGCCAGGAAGTTGCCGCCTTTCAGGAGTGTGTAGTGTGCCCCCTTCAGCGACTGAATGTGGGGATCGTTGTTTCCACCGCCTTCTTCCGCGGTCGTGGTGGATGAGGCGGCTCCGGTTGTGGCGGGCGTTTCCGTGGTGGTCGTTGGCAGTGAGACGCAGCAGCAAAACCGTCGCCAACCGCTGCCGCCGCCATCCAAGTTGCAAGCGGACGAAGATTGTGAACTGGCGGCTCGACATTTGCTGTTGCGGTCCACGATATATG